AAATTAACTCTGTATAAATTCATGATTACAGACATTTCCATCGAAAGGAGCTTTTAAGCAATAGAATTATGCGGACAATACTGCTACTGATTAAAGGATAGTAAAAAGGTTTTTGTCTTCAAAATCTGAAAACAAACTCAGAACCTCCATAAGCAATCAAAGGAGCATATTTACTACTACAACTACTACATGAGTAACACTTATTGATGCACTTTTATTAACATTTTACCACCAAATGCAGGATTCTATAAATAATCAGTAATACAGTGGCCTTAGTTCTATACTGAAGATCAAATGGCTAGAAGTAAAAAAGACAAAAAATCTCTGGCAATGAACCAAACAAGAATCTACGGCCCAACAAATATGGAGAAGGAAATGAAGATGTGTAATACAATTTCCAAGTGTTCTAAGACTTTGTTTTAATGTATACACATTAAAACTGACTCTTACGCCGTAGTGCTGTCTATATCCACATCATTTGAGTTTAACATACAGCCATATTCGTTAGATAAGATCTACATATTTGCTTCTGGATAATCTTGACCTTTCATTTTACTCAAATATCCCTCCTTTTGGAGCACTTTTCTGGACACGTAATGCAGATAAGTGTCTTTTTTTGACGAATTTATCCAATTAACTGTACAGTTCCGATTACATATAATTACTTTTGTATATTTATGTGCATTAGCTTCGTCAAAAAAGAATAAAAATTAGTTAGGGTTGTTGTTTACTTCATCAAGAATTGTGATGAATAATCTTTTTGTAACTTGGGGGGGTTGAAGACTAGTATGAGGGTAGTGGTACTGAGTTGTCAAAAAATAGACATCTTTCGAGGATATTTCGTTGGATTGAGAAACAGCTTACAGATGTCTTGAAAAGAATGAAAACTGATCAGTTAATTAGCTGCCATCTTTATGATCAAATCCGACCAACAGATTTAATAATACCAAGGCTTTATGGTTTACCGAAGATACACAAAGTTGGTCACTCACTTCATCCAGTTTTGGTTATGTTAAGTTCCCCTTACCGCCCTGTTGCAAGATGGTTGGCTGATATTCTGGAACCTGTAAGTAGACATTATGTACATACCTACTTCGTGACAACTTCCAATTCACCAACTACATACAAGGTAAGAGAGTTATCAACAAAAGTATGCTATCCTTCGACGTCGAATCGCTTTTAAACAATACCCCACTTACAGAAACTATCTTTTTTATATGTAAATAGACAGATGAAAACAAGTTCACTGGTGGAATAACAACAACATTTCTCAAAGAACTGCTGCTGAGATGTACCATCACCATCTACAGAAAAAAGGATGATATTGCAATGGGATCTCCCTTGCGTCCACTACTAGCAGACTGTTTTATGACTAACCTTGAGAATGGTCAATTAAAGTCGTTCACTGACTATTTAAAACTGTATAAACGGTAAGTAAGTGACAGTTTCGCCATTTGCAAAAATAGCTACTACCCCAATCAATTGCTACAAATATTTAACAACTTCCATGGAATATTCTGAATGATCTGAATTTCAACATGAAATAATTTCACTCTTGTTATTGCTTAGTCTAACACGTAGTTCACATAGTAAAAATGTATCCCCCCCCCCGCGCAGGATCAGAGACTTGGCGCGTCATAAGGAGCATCTCCAACAAACTACAGACCTTCAATAACAGTTTTCTTCGCTCAATACTCAAGATCAGATGGCCGATCAGAAAAGATCAGCAACAGGGATCTTTGGGAGCGAACCAACCAGGAACCGATTGTGCAACAAATAAGCAGGAAGAAATGGAGATGGATTGGCCATACTCTGAGGAAACCATCAAGTGACATCACTAGATAAGCCCTCGAGTGGAACCCGAAAGGAAAGTGGCGAGTTAGTCGTCCAAGGGTGACTTAAAGGAGGTTATGTGAAGAGGAGATGAAAGCGTGTGGGCAGACTTAGAGCCAGGTGAAAACTCTAGAAGAGACCCGAACGCAATGGAGACGCACGGCTGAAGCCTTATGTTCCTCTAGGAATTAAAGGAAACAATAAAAATGATAGCTGTTTCCAGTTACAATATACATTAAAAAGCGCCTGTGTTTCTGTATGAAAAGTGAACACGGAGCTTAAACTATCGAAAAGAATAAAGAAAGCAAGTAAGTGGTTTCACGCCAAACAGAGAAATAGTATTAAATAAAACAACCTTAACAGATGGACACTTTTTAGATTAATTTTAAAATAAAGAAGAAAGTACAAACAAGTAAAAGATAATTAAGCAATTCACAGGTAAATTGAGAGTTATCCAATATTTGATGAAACTGATGCTAAGTACGATTAAGTAAAAAAATTTCTGAGTTTCCAGCTTGGTTAAGCATAGTAAAGTCGGCATCTTTATTGATATTGTACGAAAATTTTCTATAGTGTTCTGACTAACTGACTGGTAACTGATAATTCTAATTTCTCATAAGAAAGCTTTAATACAATAAGACCAACAAAATACAACATATTTGTTGATCGGATATACTCTGCAGGAATCCACACACTAATGTCTAGTGCTTATTGGCACTTATTGGTAGGGTGTACCTGAAATCGTGGGTGAACTGAAATCCCCTGTGAAATTCAAACCCGTGTCACCTTTCGCTGTAGTCAGAGATGTTACTGGTGAGCAATTTGTCTTAAAAATTGACCTCCTCTACAGCTACAATGTTTTTACTGACTGGTCGTTCTAACTAGAGACATTTATCTAGTGCTGACTGAATTTCATCAGTCGCCAGTGCGAATTACCAAGGAGATATCAGTTTCTTCAAGATTCCAGACAAGAATTGTTGACGAGTGTCGATGATAGCTAGGTCCAGAGCTTACCGCCTTTTGTCTCCAACACTAATTCAAAGCGGACCGCGATGTTGACTTACCTAACTTTGTGACCACACTACAAACTGAAATGATAGAATTCATTCATTACGACTGAGTACTATAAACGTGGCACTCCAGTCACTGATTGATGCAAAGTCTAGAATTGTATTTATAACAACCGTAATTTAAATTTCACACTTGAGACTTAATTTTAAAAAGCTAACATAAATGTAGTCATTGTTAAACTGAGGAATCAGTGAACATAAAACGATCAAACATTAAACCTTATAAGAAGACTTGGTCATATAACTAGGAAATTCCCAGTCGACTAACAAAGGGAGTCATGAAACTATCATACGATGATGTCATAAATCCAAGGAGATATCAAGTGAACGCCAAGTGAGTTTGAATACCTCAGACATGAAAAATCAACTGAAAGTCAAATTTGTAATATTTGCAAATTACATAGTCCGAGGTGAAAATTCGTGATTTCAAGTGTATATTTGTAGGAATTTGGTTGGGTTCAAGTTCAGTCACAGACATATCATTTGGTGGACTGCTAAGAAGCAGGGGCATAATACAACTATTTCATTCTAGTTTGAGACTTTTCAGCATTACACAGCCATGACCGCGTCTGTGATCGAACCAAGGACCTTCACAATTCGAGGCAAGCGAACGAACCAGTCATCCATCAAGACGGAATCCGAGGGCCTACGAATTGTATCTTCTGTCAGCTCATTCTGGTCTTCATCGATTCTTCAACTGATGTTAATCCGTGATCCAAGGTGAAACTAATCAAATCCCTGCAAATCAACACTTGAAAATTAATCCAGTGTTAACCAATAGCTGAAGTAGAAATTGACTGGAGTTTTGCAGAGAATTCGTGACAAGTGCAGTTCACCAGGTTGGGTGTGAGGATGAATGCTTATCGATAACATTGGCTGGTGGCCGTTCTACATATTGTGAATCGGCAGAGGTTAAAACTGATGGGCCATCTAATTGCGTCATAGTGGATGAATGATTAATGTGTTTGAAGGTCCTGTGTTTAATATTGTGTCAGTGGAGTAATGGTTTCGTACTACTGAAAAGTCCCAGACAAGGAAGAAACAGCTGTCCGGTACTCCCTGGTTTTCAATGTTTCCCCAACTGATATCAATCCGTGATCTAACTTACTATCAGGAGTTTCTTTGGAAACTCAAAATGTTCTGAGCTGAATCAAAGTGGGTGCAGCATTGATGAGCTGGGCTCTAAATCAGAGAAATAGCTTTCCAGTGCCTAGATTACTTCAGTCTGGCTAGCAAGTACTGTTGATTGATGTAAATAGTTTCCAGCTGTTCATATTTTTCATTTTAATTTTATTCCTTGACGTTCCCAGTGGAAAATAGGGCTTCAGGCTAGAGCTTTGAAGTTTTGGCAGCAGTGGTATTTATTTTTGAGGTATGATTGCTAGCCTCACGCCCAGCCTTCCCTGTTTGCCAGTCCTATTACTAGCTTAGCGAGGTAAAAGAGTGTGTCGGCTGAGGATCGAACCCCGAACCACATGCATAGTTGGTGAGTATTCTACCATTGTGCCACCGATGCAACTGTTCACATTAGGCAGTAGAATATACCATATTAAAGTTAGTCATACAGTGAGCGACCCAACCTTACCTCAGTGATAAAAGTAACATATTCACATTAGGGTGATTTCATACTTTTGATTGTGAATCTGGAAGCTCAACAGCTTGATAACTGAATTACTTTTACTCTGTAGTACAATTAATACTTCTTATCAAAACAGGTATTCTATGAAAATTTTCTTTCAACTAAAGAATAAAAGCATTTCAATTCTTTATGATGTATAAATGAAATATTCATAGACATATATTAATAGAAAGAAGAAGAAATTAAGTTATTGTCACTAACAATTTACTCAATGGACTCAATGAAAACGAAGTGCTTTAAATGTTTGTTTTGATGGATTTTAAAATACAAGAGAGATATTGAGACAGGAAGAGACCACCTAATATTCTGTTGACATTATTAGTCTATTAAATGAAAATATCAATTATTTTGAAGTATATTTCAACAGTAACAACGACTACATTTCAAAGTGTATAAAACAGAAATAAATAGCTGTTTATTTATTTATTTATGGCTTTGTTTTTGAAAAATAAACTTACAGCAGAAGCGATTGCAGCTCCAGATTCATGAGTAGTTGCTGCTGTTACAATCATTGCAACTAAATCAAGCGTGAAACAAGCGAGAATACAAATGAGTTCCTTAAGACGAAATAAAGGAAATAAAGTGATGATTTAGGAGAAAGAAAAGAACTTATGTATATAAACACACATACATATAGAGTACTTCATCAATGAATTGATTAACTATTCATGAACATAAATTAGACTGTGTGATGAAGTTATTGAAAAGAGACAAAGTAATAATGATGAATCGCATGATAGATTTCAGTTGCACAGTGATGACAAATCACATGATAAGTTCACTTGCACAATGATGACGAATATGATTTTACTATTGTCATATTTGATACTAGCCACTTTTCAACCTACAAAACTAAAGTGAACTATCTGTTGAGGCTTATCAGATTCTATAACAGATACCACTATATTTATATTTACGGTCACTCATTTATGTAGCATAGAAATCCAAGACAAGTATAGCATCTTGTATTAGATCAGTTAAATGAAGTCACATATGTGATAGTATTCCAACGGTGAAAAAAATCTAATACTCATCGTTTCAAAGGGTAAAGAATTATTCACTCAACCACTGAGTTACGATAACTACATCATGTATAGCAGATGCTTGTTATTTTTAGAAAGTTGTTCCTTTTACATGGTGGTTTTGACAAAGTCACGAGTGTTTCTTCCGTTGGTTCTTATTGGTGATCCATCATGACCAGATTATAGTACCAAATTCTAAAATAACACTAGTTATTCACTTTCAGATTTCACTTTAAATAATTGATTCATCTCTAAATGAACTAATTGTCATCCGATATATTGATACATTTCCTGTCGGCTGGTTGAAGGTAACTGGGAGGAGACCTCGAACTTATTTTGAGTCGTCATCAAGGCGTTTCTGTAACCTCAAAGCAGGATCTCCAACTATCTAGTGTTAATACAAAGTGAAGTTCAGTGGTGGGTTATCTAGCTTGGTGATTACATTGCAAACTTGACTGACACAGTTGAATCAGTACTAAATACGAAACATATGACACTGTAGTTACTAACCAATGAAATACATTTCTTATTACATTTTTATGAAGAAGATAATAATCTTTAACCATTGATGCCTGTTTTCTGTCTCTCTTGTTACGGTCATTGAGGAAAAAGACAATCGATGGGTTAAGGAAATTACATCATTTGAGATGACGATGACATTTTTTGTTTGCAAAGTTGTCACCTTTCTCTTCAAAGAATGTTAGCAGACCTAGGATCGATATGGAAAAGAGTTAGGCAGTAGGTTTCAAACTAAAGTATGAAATCAATCTATGAAGTCTACGACTCTTGTTCTGAGGCACATACGAAGGTGTAGACTACCTGTCTGTAGTAGTTGAAGTGCCAATGAAATACTACTCGAAAGTGTTCCTAATATGGCTGAGATCTACTAAATTCTTGTGATCTTCCTGATTCTTCATGCAATTATTCTTACTCCTGAACGTCTGTCATAGTTTCGCCACATTTCTTTTATCTATTCTGATGCATGATTCATTGTGCGAAGTTCTAAGTTGAAAATTAAATTCAGTCCAGTTCAAATGTCACTGATCTTTATATCAGTGGTTTAACTGGCACGATAAATGAACTGCTGTTGACTATTTCAGATCACAACTTCGAAAGTTAATTAAATTTAGGGATTTAAAATAGCAATTTATTTAGGATATTGACAGTCAGACAAACTTAAAGGTTGATAAAAACTAGTAAGAGACATTCAGCTGTTTTTATTTTGTTAAGGCACTTTATTACTATGTCCTTTTGTCTTTGGAATAAGTATACATCAGTGTTATTTTACTTTGAAGAACATAACAGTAGAGTTTTGATATGCTTTGGAGAAATTTTGAAAACCGGAATCATGCATATAGCGTCACAATAATGCTATTGGTAAGAAGAGAAAAGAGACAGATTCCTTTCTTCAAGACAATATCTGCATGCTTGAATAGTGTTAAATTATTTGTTTCACAGAATAACACAATGGAGTATAATATTGTAAGCCATTTTTTATTCAATTGCTTCTTCATCTTCTTCTTATAGATTTGCCATATAATTCAAAACAACAAAATTAAAAAAACTACAAACAAACAGACTTGAGAGATGAAAAACTAGAGAAAGTAACGAGCGCTTGAAGTTTATTTCCATTTTGCATAGACTTGAAGATGAATTATTATGTCTGGCGATTTATGAAAGTGATTGATTTCTATAGAAGAACCAATTAGTATCTGATAGTAGATATGGTAAAATCAATAATGATAACAATAATAATTCGTTGTTTGCCACAAAATCTAAGAGCAACTTAAGTAAAACAATTGTTTATTTGCTTAGTTCTTATTTTGGAAAACAAAGTCATGCCTGATTTCGGCAACTTCAACTAAAACCAAGCTGAAGATCAACAACGTTTAATTAGCTAACTTACTGCTTCATTATGGGATGTAGACTACACACTAAGTCAAAGGAATACCAGTTTCACCTCGATGACTACTGAGTCGTATAATATGTATACTGGAGATGGATTTCTGTGGTTATCTCATTTTACTAGGCTGTAGTTAATGCTTTTATATAGAAAATTGAATTATGGGATACTGTATACAGAAGATAACTGGTTATAGAATAATTTGACTGTCTTAGCTGGCAGTCTGTCATATTCGTGAACTATTATTCTTCAATAAATAAAACCGAATACTCGTTGCACAACAAGTGACTGTAGTAACGCAATAATAATAATAACGGCTTTATTCTAAACAGTACATCTCACACGATGTGGAATTCTGAGCAAATAGTACAAGTAGTGCATCTAATTTTCTGTTTATACTAGATAGTAAGGGCAGAAATAATAACCAGAATATTTACAACAATATTAAGTCAGTAAAAGTATAAATATAGAATTAAAATATAATCCAAATGGTGACAATAATACATCAGTGAAAGAAAGAATAAAAATGGCCGTTTATTCATTGTTTCACAGAAAGTTACTAGTTTCATGCAAAACACTTTTCTCGTCACATAAAATGCGTGTCAAATAAGGCACCATTGAGTTATTTTATTTAGTCGTCCGAGCATAAAGTCCCCTGTAATTGTTTCTAGTCCTACCTGATGAGGTGTTAGGGGACGAGTGTGTAAAAAATGCGTGCTTACAGCTTTACATGATAATACTTTCCAATTTTTCGTATGAGTTCAAGTCTCTGTCCATAACAATATTAACGAGTTGGTTTAGTGACATCTCACACGCCGACAGCTCTTAGTGCCCTAATCAGTGATAAAAAATCTTTCTTGAGTGGACCAGTAAGGATTCAGGGAAAAGCAATAAAAAAGACTAGGTAGAATAAAAGAATTAACAAACTGTAGAAGTAGAGAGTGAGTGGTAGCAGACTGTCTTATTTTACGTGAAGAGATATTTTGTTTTATATATATATATATCCAAGGAAAGACATAATCCGACATATTCAATGCTATGCTCAGTTTTTATTTCAGTGCTTTCTATGATACAAGAATCATGGGAATGAACCAGCTCATACAAATCACGTTTTCAATTGAAAGTGAAATTAACAAACTGACATTTGGGGAGATTCAGTTTAAGACGACTCGGCAACGACTACCAATTTCACTCCGTCCTCTGCAGAACTCTTTCACTGGCTCAACGATGCCCTCATCTTCTCTTCATACGATCTCCTCCATTTCACCCTCTCACACACACCCAAGTAGTTATTTACCATTCGGATTCCACTCAAAGACCTGGGGTGTGATGTCAGTCGACGATCCCCTCAGCTTGTACCAGGCCCACATCCACGTACTTCGCCATATTTGTTGGCCGACAGGTCCCCGGTTAGTTCGTTACCAGAGTTCCTTGTCCCTTATCCATTTTGGCCGGATATCTGATCTTCGGTGTAGAGTGAAGTCAGCTATTGATAAAAGTCTGCAGTAGCCTGTTGGAAGTGATTTCGATGACGTGTCAAGTCTCTGAACCATATATAAGCATTGGCTGTTTTGCCACTAGTGTTGAACATCTGAATCCTTCACACTATGGTTAGTGAGGCAGATTTCCATACAGATTTCAGATAAATGAAGGTCTATGTTGCTTTTCCGATTCTGGCTGCCTTTGACATTCACACCCTTACCTCCCGTAGTTGAAATGATGCTGCCTAGATAAGTACAAAATCACTTCCTTAAAATCCTAATTAAAAAAAATTTAATTGGAATTTTCATCAAATTCTTCATTATAATTTGAAGTAAGAGAAAAAATGTCCATGATTAGGCACTGAGGGTATGTAAAAAATGAACTCAGTTACACTAGACTCACTCCTATGTTGACTGTTTATTGCTATAGAAAAGTTTTTGTCTGACAAGATCTAAGTCCTCAGTCTACAATTTTTACGTTTTGTTTTTATTGTTATTATTTAGAATAGTAGAGTTTGCAAAAACTAGACACGACAAATCTTTACACAGCATAAAGTATGTATCTTTTCTTAAACTTATAATAAGCATAGAGTGTAGGTTGATTCTTTGAATTATTTCAGTACTAATAACATTGACTGTCTATGGATGTTGTCAACTTTAAGTCTAACTTATTCACATTATTTTTTGGTTATTTAAATCCAAGTAGTAATTAGGTCATGATTTCTATATAAATAAATAAACTGAGCTAATAAACATTTCAGTAGATAAAATGTTTCTAATCAGATTCATTACTTGAATAATGATAGGTTGTCTATTTATCCTCAAAGTTTACAAATAGGACTCTATTAGAAATAAAATATTTGGCCTTCTGTAAACTTCTTACTCTGACATACATATGTGTAGCATTTTCTAATAAAATTACTTTGAATAATAACTGTACTAAACCAAGTTCACTTTTAACGGTTTGAAAAAATTTGGGCATTGGGTATATGATATTCATTATAATAAAGGTTTTCTTGTATTTCCCAATGAATGAAAAACAAAACGATATTGTTTTTTACTGACGTTTCGCTATTTAATGCTAATAGCTTTATCAAAGTATTATTAAACCGGAATTTACAAAATCTCAGCATATATGCTGATAAAGCTAT